CCTGGAGGGACATCTGCTTTCAGTTAGATCAAGAAAAATAGAAATCTGTTTTTTGAGGGTTTTGGTATTTTCCTAATCACTGTAGAACTCACCTGCTTCTGTGCAGGCACTTCAATTACAATCACCCTCACATTCATTTAGTAAAAGAGGAAAAAGATAAATGGGTTGAAGAAAGCCGTAAACATTTGCAATACCTCTGAAATTTATTCTCTGAGAATAATAACATCAGGTTATTTATGGCCATTCAATCCCTCTAATCACCTAAATATTTTCACTTCCAGGTATCACTGTAGAAGATGTGAAAAGATGCCTCGGGTATCACTTAGATGCCAATATTGCATATAAAGACTTAGAAGCTGACGTTAATATTGATGGTGGTAAATGTGAAAAGATTTATACAAAGGAAAACTGTAAGTATATCCTTATTTTACATTCTATCTTTTGCTTAGGAAACACAAGACGAATTTGTTCCTCTTTTATAATCAGTAGTGCTAAGGAAAAAACCAAATCTGGCAGACCAGTAGAGGTGAGGCTGCCATAATTCCATGCTCCCAGGTCAAGGCAGGCTGAGCACGTGTTCCCAGTAGGCACATGGACAAACACACTTACCTAACACGTGTATACATAAACACATTGCTGGCTACACAAATCAATATTGACAAAAGCACAGGGCTCAAGCAAACACAAACAGCTCCAGTGGCTTCATCCTGCTTTTGTCTCCATCTGATCAGGGTGAAAGTCTGTTAGTGGGAAACACCACAGAATCACAGGGTGGTTGAGGTTGGAAGGGTCCTCTGGAAGCCATCTTGTGCAACCTCCCTGCTCAGACAGGACTAGCTAGAGCAGATGTTCTCCTCAGACTGCACCAGTCCCAAGTATTTCAGCCCCTCCTCAATATACATATATAACCAATACAGACCCGATTTAGCCACTGACCTGAGATATTAAATTGAACCAGTAACAGGATCCTTAGTCTCCTCTGTTACTGGCACACAGATATACAACACCTCAAGACCCACACCTCCTCCACTCCCATTTCTGGTACAGATCACCAGATGCACACCAGCACACACACCTCCACACACTATGAACACTCCAGTAACTGGCTTTAGGTGCTCAGTATACCCAGCAGTTTGTCCTTGGATCCTTTTATCTCCAATTGCCTCACACAGACATGGCAAGTTAGGGAAGACTGTGAAGATGAACATCTGTACATGGCAGACAAGCTCACTGATCAGCTACCTTTCCACATGCCATCAGTCACCCTTTTTGCCTTTATCCCTGTATTTTCCCATGTGTGTTCCTCCCAAAGCCACCTTGATCCTCCCCTTACCTCTTCATGGCACTCTCCTAAAAATACATGATGTATTGAAGTGTATGTAGTCCCAAAAGAACCTTCCTTGCATCCAGTGAGCCTTTCCATTGGGTCATCTTGCTATTATTGGGTCATCCTTAGCATCATTCTGCAGGGCTAATGGCTCTGCTGGGACAGGCCTGGGAGAAGTCCTGGAAGGGGCTTCCTTTCTCTGATTAGGCTACTTGTAGCTCCCCTGCCTGTCATTGTCACTCTCTGCTCCTTTGTGTGTCTGGACATGAGTTTTTTATCACATGATCTAAAATCTGCAAAAGGCAAGGAGATTTACTACTGAGCACAGAAGAGGCAAGTTTTTTTCTGTGCTCTTTTTCTCTCAGTTATGAAGCAAAAGATCCTACTATTCTAATTCCTGCCCTTTTCTGGTTCAGCTCAGATAATACAGTAGCATCATTCATATTACCTTTGGCTTGTTATCAAATAGCTTTGATCTCCAAAATGTGCCCCTTTTTGCCCTACCCCATCTTTTCCTTTGGAATATAGGGTTTGCTGATTTAATTGCAAAATTGAAGGTTTCCTCCCACATAAGAGGTATGAGCAAAGAAAGGAAACCAGTGAATGAAGGGCTCTCCTCTCTGTGGTCAGTTTGTAGAGATGAACTGGCTATGCTAAAAGAACAACTGTTCTTCAAGATGTTTGGGTGTTAAGCTTTTTTCTTCCTCCTCTCTTCATCCTTTCTGCAGCAGAACTTGAGGATGATGCTATCATTGATGATGTACTTTCCTTAGTTGATGGAGGGACGATTGACTTTTCAGTTAAAATAAAAGAAACATTATTGCGAGGATTAAAAATGGTGAATGTAAAAGATTACATAGAGTGGGCTAAGTCTTTGATTGATGCTCCAGTAGTGATACAGCAACGGGTAAGTAAAACTTCAAAGCTATGGCTCTAATGGCTTGAAAGCTTTTGTCCTAAGATGGAAGTGAGACTCCAAGTTTATTTATGAGACACAAGTATGTTTATTAAGCTTTAATACAGTTACTCCTCTTGCTCCTCCCAACATTTACTAAATAACTTGGCATTGTACCTTGTCTATGTTGATATGTTAAAGATTTTTACATTAAATCAGAGGCACATTACAAAGGAATAAAATAGTTGTCATAATATCATCTGTATTTGTTCTAAAGGAAACAAGTCTGAGCTAATTCTAGTGCCATTACACCTACCTGTCAGTCTTATTCAGTGATTTTTGAATGTAGTGGACAACCACTGGAAAATGTGTTTGGAGAGGGGAGTGGAAGGGTATTCTCAAAGAGTTTCATAATAAAGGCAGCCAAGTTGAGAAAACAAAAATAAATTGGTGTCCCTGCCGAGGAAAAGGTATTAATGTTAACTTGGCTATCTTACTAAGCACCAGAAGATCTACATGGAAGAAAGCTGTATGAAAAGAGTTTTCTTTTTGAAAGGTAAGAACAAAGGTATATAAGGACTGAGTGGTTTGGAATGGTAAAAGCCATAATGACAATGAGATTGGCCCTTGCATACTTGCAGTCCAGGTCTGGCAGAGCCCATTGAAAACCTCTTTACGGATATGACTTTAACCCCATCATTAGCTACCTGGCAGTGTTTCTGACAGGTCACATCACCTGTCTGTTAATTTCTCATCATTTCAAATTCAGCAAAGGAATATGAAATACTCTGCTGAAATCTAGAGAGATGAAGTTAATTGTGTTACCTTTGTCACACTGCTGTTTGAAGCCTGTTCTTAGAGTTGCATAATGCTGTGCTCAAGCAAATAATCCTGTAGCTGCCCTAAAATCATTCCGCTTTTTAGAAAAGAGCTATGATGTTTGCTAATTGCCACTCTAGGTATCTGTAGTGGTATTTGCTGTTACCCATGTAAGAGATAATACTGACACAGTGCATTGCAAGTTTAAGTGAACACCAGTGGTTTGAGATGTACAGCAGTGCAGCAGTCCTTGCAGTGCTGTAGGACTGAGATCATGGGAACTTCCTGATTTCATCCCAGATGGCAGTTTAAATCTTGCTTGTGACACAGACAAGCTCGTTTCTGTTACTCTCCTGCCATTTAAATTTGTCCTCCGCTACTTCATACAGAGAAGCTTGCTTATTGAAAACTTTAATTTAAATTTAATTTAACGATTGGAGATCACCCCAAATATACCAGTGCCTCCCTCCCCTGCCTTTAGCATGTACCTCATTCATCTTCTTCCTTCAACTCTTTCTGTGAAGTCTTTTTTAATACGTCCAGCTCAGTGAGGTTTATGGCTATAGGCCCTTTCTTCCTTCAGTTTTTCTGCAGAGGAGGTCTGCAGCAGTGCAGATCTTTAATATCCTGTTGGACCAGGAGAACCCTATTTTTTTTACCTAATAACAGCTATGAAGAGTTGAATAGTTAAAAGCTTAATTGACAAAAATATAGTTCATTTATTAAAGGAAGAAAATGCAGGTTTTGAACATCCAGGGACACCGCCTGGAAAAGAGGAAACATAACCCCCAT